TCCAACTATTTATTTATGAGTGACTTATGTATGTATGTATGTATGTATGTATGTATATGTATATATTGTACTATTCTTAGTTAGTGTATTGTCCGTCTTGTCTTAATGTTGGTTTAAAATGGAGCACTGTAACAAAAAATAATTTCCCCCAGGGATCAATAAAGTATTCTGATTCTGATTCTGATTAACATGAAATTTCCCCTTGTGGGACTAATAAAGGTATCTTATCTTATCTTATCTTATCTTATCTTATCTTATCTTATAATACCTGGTGGGCCGGTCGCTAGTCAAAATGCCCGGGCCAATTTTTTGTCCCAGTCCAGCCCTGCTGGGAGGTACAGCGTCTCTACAAATCTGATGCTTCTGATTTGGAGAAAATGAGCTGAGGGAGACACCTGGTGGACAAACACAGACATGACAGGAAGAAAGACTAAAGTGCAGAGTGGAGACAAACAGCTGGAAATACTTGTTGGAAAGGATTGTCATGCTTCAGAAAAACATACAGCACACACTCTAACAGTCCTTTATTTGCACTGAAGGAGACACGTGAAGAAACCAAATCACACAATAATGAAGTGAACACATTTATAGTCAGTGTTCAAAATGATGGATAGAAATGAGAATCATGGAGCATTTGTTCACTTTTAGGTCTGTTTCTTACAGCAGAAGCAGCATTTACATGAACTCACTGGCCTTTTTCCACTCAATACTCTCTTCTTCATCACCTCATCTTCCTAAAAAGTGGATCTACCAACATTTTTTATTTTTTTGTTATTATGATTAAAATGTCAAACAAATATATTTTCCACTTTTTGTGTGACAGATGCAGGAATTTCTCTGCCCTGCATGTGGAGAAATCTGCTGTTAAATCAGAACATTAACAGGTTTCAGGTTGTATTCAAACACACATTACTGTGTGTCAGTAGGCATGTGTTAACAGGGACTGTAAGACACTTTAATGGCTTTAATGCATGTTTATATGTTTAACACATGTCTGTTTGTTCACACATAAACACATGTGATTTATGTCTGTTTATCTTTGACCTTGTAATTAGTTCCTACGAATTCATCATGTAAATCTCTAATAAAGTAGGAACAATGAACAGCCTGTCACACAGTTTGTTATCCTGTCTCTGCTGCTGTGTGCTGTGCTGCACTCACTCAGAGATAAGAGTTACTGTGTCCCACTGACACAGAGAGGAGAAAAATACTTGGCTTCATTTAGAAAATCGGAGCTACGGATTAAAACGACAACAAATATGTAAATGAATCATATTCAGTCACCTCATCTGCTAAAAACAAACAAACAAAGGCGTCTGCTCAGTCACGTGCTCTGCTGTGGCAACCAGCAGAGCAGGAGTGTCGGGGGGAGGGGCGACTGAATTGACCAAACGGGCTGTGAATGGACAGCAGACGGCAGAGGGAAGTGACGTCTCAGGAAGTGAAATGAGAACAGAAGTAGATGGTGAGAGAGAAGCGGTGAAACAAGGAAAACGTAAAAGCAGAGCAACAACCAGCAGAGTGAAAGTAAACCTGTAATGTGGAGGAAACGGACAGTGAGCGCAGTGTAACCGTGACAACGAGACACGAGGACGGATTTAAAGTGATCATAAAATCGCCTCCAGACGGTCGTCGTTCGGTGAGTGGAACCAGGTTGAAATTGGCTTTATTGTCACTTCAACCATATACACCTAGTACACAGTGAAGCGAAACAACGTTCCTCCAGGACCAAGGTGCTACATGCAACTAGGGTTGCCAACTCCCTGAAAAATAAATAAGGGACACCTCGTGGCCAGGGCCGGGCGACCCAGTTGTCTTCACCCTTCCCAGTGTGGTGAATTTTCTAGCTCTTTTTTTGTGTGTGAAATTATTTTTTTTAACCATTTGACTTGAAGTTGATTTAAGTAGATGCATATTCTATTCTTTGTGATATGAACACATGTGAAACAAATGATCATTTAGCCATTTATTTTTAGCTCAAAATGACAACATTAACACATAAAACAGGTCTCTTTCTTGAACAGAAGCCTGTCATGCTTAACTTTTGAGAATATAAGTAAATCTTTCTTTAAAAGAACTCTGTCCTGCTTAACTTAAAATTATATAAATTAATAGAAAGCAATAGAACGAAAAATATTCTTGTAACAGTGCACATTTAGTGCATTTAGTACAATTGGCTTCAGCTGAGGTATTATTTCAGCTTTTCTAATGCTAATCAGCTGCTCCTGTTTGTAAACCCGCTTGTTCCCATGATTAAGCATCTTAACTCATCATCATTATTCATCTATGTATTACTTTTATGTATTAGTGATCTATTTGTTGTAATCATCTATCCTTGCAGTTGTTTATTACACAAAATAAATTATATTATCACACTTCTGGCCACATAGCGCTGATTTTCACTGCACATGCCCATATTAACTTTTTCCAGCCAGGTGTTTTCCTTTTCCCATTCCTCCTTTTTTTCTTTCTCTGAGCGAACAAACATTGCTGCTCTAATGCTGGGCTCACACTGTGCGGTTTTAGGCCCATTTTGAGATGATTTTTGAGTCGTGCGACTGATTTGGTGATCGGCCCGATTTTGGCCTTCATCGTGCATCGTGTAGTATACGTGGGGTAACGAGAAGCGATTAACACCTACGACCAGCTCCCGATAGTCAATCGCTCGTGACGTGTCACCGCAGCCGCTCACACTGCTCACGCGCAAACACGTAAACGTCGGTGAAAAAGACGGAGCAGCTCAGCTGTGCAGCGTGTGATCTGGACACAAGCGATGGAGGCACAACTTGTAGAACTTTGGAAAGCTCATCCGAGCCTTTTCGATGTGGCATCACAAAATGATCACGACCACAACAACCTGAAAATAGTTGGATTTACATTGCTGCTCAATCACAGCTGCCTGATCAATGTTTTTCATTAGCAATTTAGCAAAGTTGATGGTGGTGGTGTGTCTGTGTGAGTGAAAGACAGAGAGAGCGAGCGACAGATTTTCTGTTATAACCTTCATTTTATGGAGGCACAGTGTGAGCACTCAGGTCGCATCAGAGCATCGGGCGGTATAGTGTGAGACCTGCATCGTGACCTACCAACTTCTAACCCCTGCGAGTCAATCGTGCAGTTTGAAAATCGCACAGTGTCTGTCCAGCTTTAGGTGTACTGTCGTCCGAGACTTGCACCGCAGTGTCGGCGTTTGTTTCCCTGTTGGCCATGCTTCTTGTTGTGGTCATCTGTTGTCTTCCGGTATTTTCTCCGCAAGCGACCTTTCCTCGACCAATGAGATGAGCGGTAATCTGAATTGTCATACTCGAATTGTCATAAGTGTGCTGTCAGCTCATTGGTCACAAAGCAGGAGAGGGGCTGGGAATTATGTTTTCAAACAAAGCGTTAATTCCATAAACATTTATAGACTACTTTTGATTCTCACTGTATTACGGGACAAAGTGCGTCCCTTATTAGCTCAATACGGGACGTGTACTTTTGTTTCTAAATACGGGACGATTCCGTATTTTAAGGGACGGTTGGCAACCCTACATGCAACATAAATTTACAACATAAATTAACAAAAACTAACTATCTAACTATCTAAGGAAGATTCAGCTACAACAGCGATAAATACGCCTGTAGGGAGATGAAGAGTGCTATAATACTGAGAAACGGATCTCTGATGAGTGTTTGTAGGGATGTGGTTCAGCAAGATAAACGCCCTCTGCAATACGTCTGTAGAGACCCCTCTGCAAGTCATTTCCTTCAGTCATCAGTCCTGACAATCATGCTGAACGAAGCTTATGACCTTCAGAAGACCGAGTGCCAACTGAAATGAGCACATTTGCAGTAAATATATGAAAATGATTATAACCGCGTATTTTAATAGAAGGAATCAAACATTTTCAATCCCAACAAGACCTAAGTGCTTGAGATGAAGCAGGCACGTGCAGGGGGGGGGCTGGAGCACCCTTTCCTGATGGGTGCCCAAAGTGCCCTTTTGTTGAGGCAACTTTTAAAAAATGTTTTACAGCGCTTTTCCTGCCTTTCTGGAGGGATTATATTTCACTAAAAAACGATCTAATATGCATGTCCACATAATTATGCATTATATATTATAATATTTTAAAAAACACACGCTGTATTTTAAAGAACATACATTAAGAAGCAGATTATATTAGATTTATATTTTAAATAAGACAAAATTTGGATTTTACAGCAGTAAAATGATTGTATCTCTACAGTTTAAAAATGTAATAAGCTTTGCCCTGCACAGAGTGGATAGTGAAACAAATGGAATCATCATAATGACATTATTTCATATTTATTACTTCCTCCTCCTCATTGCTTTATTATTGTAGCTCTAGTAATAAATAATAATGTAAGGATTCTGGATCAGCACAGTGATGCCCATAGTATATACAGTATTCTGAAGAAGGTCTAAAATGTCACTGTGTGTGCGTGCATGTGTGTGTTTTATGTATATGGGTTTTTTTTTAATTATTACTCAGGATATAACATTGTCCAGAAATGCCTGGTAAGGACATGAGGAGGAAACAGTAGGAGCTGTGTGAGGAGGAAACAGTAGGAGCTGTGTGAGGAGGAAACAGTAGGAGCTGTGTGAGGAGGAAACAGTAGGAGCTGTGTGAGGCTACTAAAGGCAGTGCTATAACATTTTTCTGTCATCATTTTATTATAGATTAAGTGCAAGAGTTGTTAGGTGTGGATAATTAGATTATAGTTTATTGCAATAGCAAGTTGTGCCTTGTTCTCAGATAGACAGCAAGTGGAGAGTGATATATGAAATGATGGGATGGAAGGAAGAAGAGAAGCAAAGAGTGAATCACAGGCAGAGCCTAAATTATTTCTCACAGTTTTTTGTGTCCTTATGGTTCCAAGCGCTGTCACCAATCTTTGCATTTTGTTATTATCTCATGACACTTGTTTAATCAGCTACCATCTCTCCGATGGACTTTTTAATGTCTACAGTCTCAGATCAACACAGCCCTGCCCTCCAGCCCTATCAGCAGCAGGAGCAGCAGCAACATTGTACCCATCAGGTAAAACATCGGCTACGTTTGCTTTGCCTCGTCGCCACCTCACAACAGTGATATAGTATGATTCAGGATTTTAATGAATCGATATCACGTTATCCAAGCTAGAATCTATCGATAAATCGGTAATCAAAACCCACCCCTAGTTTCAACAAGTCAGAGATATACTGGGGAACTTCACCGTGTAGAGCTCTAAAAGTTACTACTAATTTTTTTTAAATTAACCCTAAAATGCACTGGCAGCCAATGAAGAGAAACCAAAACTCGAGTAATATGTGACCTCTTGTTTGTGCCAGTTAAAAGTCTTGCTGCAGCATTCTGTACAGACTGAAAGCAATCCAAAGCTGATTTGTTAAAGACTATTACAGCAATCCGAATGAGAAGAAATAAAAGCATGAATAATCACTCAAGTTCTGCCTTTGACAACAGTAGTTTGAGTTTATAAATGTTTTTTAGATGATATAAACAGTTCAGAAACAGTAGTTTGGAGTGTTTCTCAAGTGACTTTGAACGGTCAAATATGACACCCAGGTTTCTGTGGCTCGATTGAACTGAAAGATATAAACAACTGATATGCTGAAAAAATGATATTTCAAATGATATTTCCGAAAACATGTAATCAGGAGCAATAATTAAAGTTTCTGTTTTATCTGTATTTAACTGGAGGAAATAGTCATTTAACGATTGTTTGATTTCTGACAGACAGTTATTTAAACAAGACAATTTATAAAGCTCAGAAGCTTTGAAAGAACAGTATAACCGAATACCATCAGCATAAAGATGATACAAAATAATATTGTAACATCTGATAATTTGGCCTAGAGTGAATATATATAAAGCAAAAACAGAATCGGACCTAAAACAGATCCTTGAGGTACCCCAGAAGGCAGAACTGATGTTTTAGACAGCACTTGATTCATACAGACCAGGGGTCCCCAAGCCCAGCCCACGAGGGCCGGTATCCCTACTGGTTTTAGCTCTCACCCTGGGTCAACACACCTGAATCAAATGATTAGCTCATTACCAGGCCTCTGGAGAACTTCAAGATATGTTGAGAAGGTAATTTATCCATTTAAATCAGCTGTGATGGATCAAGGACACATCTAAAACCTGCAAGGACACCGGCCCTCGTGGACTGGGATTGGGGACCCCTGCTACAGACAGTAAAAGATCTCACAGATGGATACGGCATAAGCTATTTTAAAACAACACCAAGCCATGGAGGGCTTTAAAAACAAATACTAAAATTTGTCTGAGGCTGAGATTACAGGATTGTTGGGCTTCATTTCTGTACTGAACAGTGATTTTAAGATTAGCTAGTAAATAACAATTAGCTAATGTTGTTCATGAGACTAAGGTCATCTCACTTTGGCAATGTAACTATAATATGACCAATATTAAAGTTATTATTATATTAATTATTATTAGTAATTACAGCAATGAACTTGAACTCAGTGTCAAATACTGAGCTCCAGTAAAGATTCAAGTTGCAGTCATTTATATTTCCTAAATCTTCACTCGAAGACAGGTTCCTTTGACAGTGTATATATAGATGTATCATATACAAGAGACAAATATTGTTCTTTTAATATGTTGGCATTACTAAATTTGGCTTAATGCTTACATATTTGTGTAAAAAGAAAATGTACGAGCTGTGATAACGGTTTCTGATAGAATGAAGAGTAGACTGATAAATGAAATATTCCTTTATTGGGTGAGAAAATCAGACCATGTCATAACTGCTTTAAGTCACACAGAATAGATATCAGACCCTTAAACAGGCTGACTTCTGCTAAATGGGTCAAACTGGGCAGAAAGTACGCAAACACATAACATCCTTATAGAATATGATGTAACACTATAGATCAACTTACCTCAAAATATATAAAGCATATAAACAATTACAGCAATATGATGCAACAAACACAGCAGTGCTACTGATCCAAAATACTCAAAGCTTCATAGAACTGAAACAAACATTTATTTTTAGCTCCATTCTGCTGCTGATACATACTTTAGGTTTCTGAATGTTAAACTTGTTGCTGCCTTTCATAGTGTGTAACTTGAAGGCCCTGAGTACTTTCTCCCACACTGCAAACAATGGGAGGATAAAATTATTTGAACATTACCTAATAAGACTGATTCAGGACAGACAATTAGTTATGTTAAACTTTTCTAGCAGTCCTTCACAAACAGGGAACAGTCTGTCTATTCTCTCCATCTGTCAGCTGCTGCTGGCTCTTCCTCGTCCTCTTCCTCACACACTGCTGAGTTTGTCCTGGTGGATCATCAGGGATGCAAAGCCTCACAGATGATGTGCAGCAGTGGGTCCCTCAGTCTGTCCTCACTCTGGACACTTGCAGTTGTCACACATGGAAATCAAATGTGTGATAAGCTGCAGGATTCAAACACAAGTGTAACTTATAAATACATGTTCATACTTTTATTCCACAATCAGAGAGAAAGAAACAGAGAGAGAGTGCAGGACAGATAGATGAATAAAGCACCTTTCTTTTAGCTTAACAAGTGAACCATCAAAACAAAAGAAGTGACATAAAAGTTAGTACTTAATTTTAAAAGTTTACTCTTTGGCTGTCCCATTTGAGCTGTCCACCATTTTTTCGAAAATTATCCACAACCATCGCCAGGCTATGAATCCTGGGATAGGTTGAGCCACCAAAGAACCCAACCCATCCTTGAAATCCATGAAAAAAGAGGACGCATTTGTGGGCCGCATTGGGAGCAGCCTTTGAACAAGGACAGCCTTTGTCACCTGGCTGTGGCATAATCGGCCTCCAAAGGATGCGGCCTATGAATTGGGACACAGCTTTTGACTTATCTTGGACTTTATTTCATTTAGACACACAGTCAGAAATGTTTTGAGATTATTTAAAAATGATATTGTGCTCATAAATATATTATTTGTTATAAATATTGATTAGTGTGTAATTAAATCGTCTAGTAAATTGATGCGTTCTCATAAACGTGTTGAATGAATCCAGTGTGCATTTTAAAGACAATAGTAAACTAGTTAAAAACCCATCGTATTGTTGGGGAGAGAATGAAAACAGATGAAGCTGATTTTTAGATACTAACAGTCTCTTCTCTGGGGATCAGAGTGGGTTTCATGAAGAAAGAGGGACGATGGATAGTTTGTTATATTTGGAATCAGAAATCAGGAAAGCTCAAACAAATAAGGAAATGATGATAGCAGTCTTCTTTAATACGAGTAAATGGATGATTGTTCTATCGAATTATAAAATTGATGAAAGAATATAATTATCCTTGTTTTTCCTGCTATTCTCCTGTCCACACTCCAGTCCAATAGGCGGGATTAATGCACCTGTAAGCTGATTTGTCAAACGCCATCAGGCCCCGAAGAAGAACGGAGGAGGACAGCACTACTGTGGTAGAGGAGCGGTGTGTGTGCAGACATGGCTGCTGTTGATGAAGCGGACTGAACTTGGAGGAGAGACACAAACTGAAGTATTGATCCCGTCACATCAGTGTGGATCTGATACCAACGTCTGGATCGCTTCATCGATGCTTGTATCGATCCGCTCAGCCTGAGTTGAAGCAGCGATGAGTTCAGCTCAGTATCTGAGAGAGTTCATCAAGAAGAGACTAACTGCTGTTTGTGAAGAAATCTTCTCAGAGGTTCAAAAAACCATCGTCCAGTATGAGGAGGAGATCAACAATCAGCACAGACTGCTGGATATCAGCCGGAAACCCGACAGAAACTCACACATCATAGGTATGGACATGTTTTTAACTCTGTGCTGTTCAAGCTCAGATTCTTCAGTGTGACTGACTTTACTAGAAGAAGTTAAACTGGGTATTTATCAGTGCTGTGGGTCAGTGTCCAGTGATGGACTATGTTGGACTGGTGCAGGTCCATGGTCACTGATAGATTCGTTTTTAAAACATTTTAATTGATTTATTTATTAAACTTTTTTTTCTCTAACATATTCCAGTGTTGAGTACATCAGGCGTGTGTTGGATCCTCTGTAAACACTGAGGCTGTGCAGTAAAGATCTAGTTAGATGTCAGCAGAAAACACATTTAACAAGTTGTTAACAGACTTCTCTGCAGTTGAAGTGAAGCTTCATTTAAAGAAGGATTTCACACACTGATGTTTTCATGGTGTCACCCTGCAGTTTAGTTTGGGAAACTTTGTGTCTTTGCTCACAGTGAGGAGCTTCAATGCTAACATGTTAGCATGTAGCTATGAGTGTGCACAACTATTTCCCTGAGCTGTTGTGTGTGTGTGTTGTGAGAATAGATTATTGTAGTATTAGGGATTTAGTTGTATTAACCATAGTAAAGCATTATATTAATTATTTATTTAAGTAGGTCATAGGTCAAGCTACTAAACATTCACACATAGACCACACACACAGAATTGGGAGAATAGGTCAGAGGTGTAGGTGAGAAGCAGAGGCGACGGCAAGCTGCCTTTGGTGGGATAAGGTGTTGGTAAGCCAAAGCCAGGAGAACATAGTGTGTGAAGAAGTGGGCAGCAAGGACACGAGATAGGGAGGCAGGAGATAGAGGCATTAGCAGGCACATAGTTTTGAGAGACAAAGGTTGTTGATAATATCTGTGCTGTTGGGACTGCCCCAGCAGATTTTGATGTTGGAGGCTGAGCTGTGAACATCCCCATGTACATGTAATAAAATTAATTGATTATTTATTTTGAGAAAAAAACAGGAATATTACACTGTTTCATGATACCTTGTAGAGAAAGAATGTGAATGCTTAGGTTTTATGACTGTTACGACCCCCTCTGCTAGGCGTCAGGGAGGGAGTAACATACACGAGCCCCCCAACACAAAACTGAGTAAAGCAAAAGTTTTATTTACAAACTTTAAACAGAAAACCGACAGGGCTGTGCAACAGACCACTGGGCAGACAATTATTACATAAAGAAAGAACAGTCACGAGTAAAAGTTAAAGGGTAACTAAGGCAGGCTGGCCGCACACAAAATAAAAGCTAGGGTTTTAACTAAGGCAAGCCAGCTTCACAAAATCCTACTCACAGCCAGCTAGCAGCTCAAAACTCTAATCAGGCTAAGTTTAAAGCATGCACCAAGATTCGACAAAGTTCAGCAATATGAACAAGTTCAACAAAGATTGACGAGGGAGGCACGAAGGGCAAACTGCATGTTCAGTCCTAAGCAGCAGCCACTGAGTGAAGGACCTCCAGCCTTTTGTAGCCACAGGTGGGTATGATCAGCCACTGATTGCCTCTTGGAGCATCACGGGATCCCGGGGCAGCCAATCGTCCGTGTGGTCTGGCACACTTCATTCTGCATAAGAGAGGGTTGGCACGGGTCTCCCAGTAACCAATCACACACACGAGTCCTGGAACACATTGATTTACCTAGAGGAAGGCGGGGCCACCTGAGGCCGTAACAATGACTCGGTGGGGGTTGAGGCTATAAGAGTGTGTGTAACTGCAGCACCCCTCCCATGCACATCTCCCGTCCGTATTGCTCAAAGAGTCGGTATGGAATGAAGAGAATTGTATTGATTAAATAGATTGTTGATTGAGCATTAAAACACAAAGTGTTGTTCTTCCTTTAGCCCGGAGATCAAAGAATTGGGTTTTTAAAAGTGTGTGGCTCATAATGGGTCATATGACAGGCTGATCACCATTTGTTCAGGTTTTGATTCATGCTTTTAAAAATTAGTTTTTCTATCAACACATTAGTGATTATTGTTCTTGTGTTTCTTTGTTCCTCAAGACCTCCCACAACAACATGACTGTGAGGAAGAGGAGGGTCTGGATGAGCAGCAGGTCTGTAACCAGGAGAGGAACTCCAGTCTGGACCAGGAGGACCAGCCTCCACAGATTAAAGAGGAACAGGAGGAGCTCTGCAGCATTCAGGAGGGAGAGCAACTTGTACTGAAGCAGGAGACTGAAGGCATTATCGTCTGGACTGATGAAGAGCAGCTCAGACTGATGGAGACCATCCGGAAACCTGTGATAAAGTTACACAGAATAGGTATGTAAAACTGTGATTTTTAAAAAAATAAATAAATTTTAATAACAGTGATTATGTCTCATGGGCAGCACAGTGGAACAGTGGTTAGTACTGTTGCCCCACAGCAACAAGGTCCTGAGTTTGACCTGAAGTGACCTGTCCAAGATGAACCCTGCCTCTCCCTATGGTAGCTGGGATTGGCTTCAGCACCCTCACTATACCATAAGGACATAGTAAATGGTAAATGGCCTGTATTTGTATAGCGCTTTACTTAGTTCCAATGGACCCAAAGCGCTTTACACTACATCCAGTCATCCACCCATTCACACACTGGTGATGGCAGCTACATCGTAGTCACAGCTGCCCTGGGGCGCACTGACAGAGGTGAGGCTGCCGGACACTGGCGCCACTGGGCCCTCTGACCACCACCAGTAGGCAACGGGTGAAGTGTCTTGCCCAAGGACACAACGACAGAGACTGTCCAAGCTGGGGCTCGAACCGTCAAAGTTGCATTTGTTTTTAGAGGCACAGGAAGAATTGAAGGTCCCAAAGTAATTAGCAACATGAATGAATTTCTTCAGCCTGATATTTGGTTTTCATTTACATAAACACATTTCCACCATTAACTCATGCAAAAAGGTGAAAATTTATGCATGTGTGTTTAGAAGGTTTCAGGAAATCTGAGCTGGCAGCAATCACTTCAGAGTGTCGGGTCAGAACACTTGCAAATGTTTGGATATGAGAGGAACAAACAGGCAGAATCCAGGAATAAAGTTGTCATTCTTTACATTTCAAGTTGAGAATGTGGCCACAGCAGGGCAAGAGTGTGTGCGTGTGTGGTTTCTGTCGACAAAGCATAATGATACAAACCAATTAGAACTCAAATTACATACAATACATTATATAACTAAATAAACATATTACTTCAGCCAGGACAATGTGAAACATGAGTTTTCACCCACTGCTCAGACAAAATCTACACAGAAAAACAAAGACAACAACACAAGTTTCATTTTGTTGTGTTATCAGTTTAAGTTTAAGAATTACATGTTTCCTCTGCAGCATGGAAATCTTTAGATGTGTACAGTTTACAGGTCTGGGTAAGTATGAATAAATATTCCTATTCTGTTTTGGAAAATATGGAATTCAGAGTTTCTAAACTGAAATTTATCAGACAAGAAGAGATTTCTCATGGTATTTCAAGCACAGCCAAAACATTTACGTATAAGAGAGCTCTGCCCCAGCATGCCTTCTTATAATTGTAGCCAATCCAGACATCCACATTCATTTAACAAAAAACAACAACATCTATGTATTTCATATATCACAGATATTCACATATGAAGCTGAAATTTGAAATTTTCTTATGAAAGTGTCAGAACTTATGTTCTTAGGCCTGTGGCCCAGTGTTTTGATTTTGCATTATTGTTTATTAGTCTGTTTTCTTCTTGGTTCTTGTTTACTAGTGTTTTGGTTTTTGTTCAGTATTTCTTAGCTTGTGGATTCCTTTGCCCCTCATGTCACTCTGGTCGCTGTACTGTGTACTGTGTTAGTATTGTGTCTCTGAGTTCAGTCTGTGGATTTCCTGCTTTACTTGTCTCATGTTAATGTAATCTGCTTTACAGTGGCTTGCAAAAGTATTCGGTCCCCTTGAACTTTTCCACATTTTGTCACATTACAGCCACAAACATGAATCAATTTTATTGGAATTCCACGTGAAAGACCAACACAAAGTGGTGTACACGTGAGAAGTGGAACGAAAATCATACATGATTCCAAACATTTTTTACAAATAACTGCAAAGTGGGGTGTGCGTAATTATTCAGCCCCCTCTGGTCTGAGCAGTCAGTTGCCCATAGACATTGCCTGATGAGTGCTAATGACTAAATAGAGTGCACCTGTGTGTAATCTAATGTCAGTACAAATACAGCTGCTCTGTGACGGCCTCAGAGGTTGTCTAAGAGAATATTGGGAGCAACAACACCATAAAGTCCAAAGAACACAGCAGACAGGTCAGGGATAAAGTTATTGAGAAATGTAAAGCAGGCTTAGGCTACAAAAAGATTGCCCAAGCCTTTCTGTCTCTTGGCTCTCGGTGAAGGCGGTCGCACTTTTTCTCTTCTCCTCCTTCCCCTTATCTTCCCTGCTTAGCCTCTTGTGTCCTTGTCTTGTCTCATGTGCATTACTTTCCCTGGAACAGTCTCTCACTGTCGTTCTCTAAAACCTAAAAGAGAATTATGGATTTGATCAACTGGTCTCTGAATGCTATTGACACCCTCTTCTCAACGAGAAGTCTGGGCTCGGGAGAGCCTGAGTGCCCTGGAGGGACTTTCCCTGCCGGATACACGATGGATGGGTGGCAGACCTGGAGGATCTTGTGCCTGGTGGGACTGTCTATCGAGGACGCTGAAGACATCTACCTATTCGGAACCATGATAACAGGGTTCTTGCTGATCGGAGCTGGCTTGGCCCTGACCTATCGGAGAAATAAGAGAGCGGAACCAGCTGTTCAAACCCCCCCAAGGCTGACCGCTGGAATTGAAGCGACGGGACGAGGCGCGACCTCTCACACCGAACGTAGCATGGTTAACACCTTGGAGACGCTTACAGCTGCCGTGAAGACTCAAACTAACACCATTGAGCATATGATGGGATACATCAGAGAGGGGCCTGCTCACAATGACACCATTGAGCGAAAGTTGGAACACATCGCAGAACGGCTCACTGCAGCTGTGGGGTCTCAGAATCAAAAGAATGACAACACCACGGAACAGAAGTTTGATACCATCATGGGGAGGCTCGCGGCTCTCCAACGGGAGATCGAGAGACCAGTGTCGAGAGTCTGTGGCAAGATCTTAAAACTGCTGTTCACAAACGCTGTCCATCTGACTGAGCTGGAGCTGTTTTGCAAAGAAGAATGGGCAAGGATTTCAGTCTGTAGATGTGCAAAGCTGGTAGAGACAGACCCTAAAATAGCGGTCCCCAACCTTTTTTGCGCCACGGACCGATTTATGCCTGACAATATTTTCACGGACCGGCCTTTAAGGTGTAGCGGATAAATACAACAAAATAAAACTAGTACCGGTACCGAAAAAAAGTTTTATTCATAACACACGTGAAAAGACCCAGGAAAACAGAGTTAACGATAAAAACGATAACAAAATAACGCTGAAAATGATAAAAACCATACATTTCACACCTGAGCCTCAACTCTCGCGGCCCGGTACCAAACGATTCACGGACTGGTACCGGTCCGAGGCCCGTGGGTTGGGGACCACTGCCCTAAAACACTGGCAGCTATAATTGCAGCAAAAGGTAGTTCTACAAAGTATTGACTCAGGGGGCTGAATAATTACGCACACCCCACTTTTCAGTTATTTATTTGTAAAAAATGTTTGGAATCATGTATGATTTTCGTTCCATTTCTCACTTCTCCTCTTCCTTGTCTTGTCTTGCCTAATAAGTTCCAGCTGTGTGTCCACCTGTTCCTCTTTTCCTCATGTTCCTGCCAGTGTGTTTTAATCTCCTGTCAGTTGGTAATTGTTGTCGCATTGTTAACATTGGTTCACCTTTTTCTTATGCTGTGTGTTCTGTCTGCCTGCAAAAGTTTATGATTGTATATTCAGTTTTCTTATGTTGGAGTTGAGCATTAACCCTTTAAGACCTACCATAGAACCAAGTCTGCCAGAGCTTATATTATATTTTTACATGCTGTAGTGCCATTTTTAGGAGCATTTCAAGTTGATATACATCAATACAACCATTATAGCCTAAATCTTAATAATATGTATGCATTAAGTGTATAGTACTTACATAAATTGCAAAACAGTGCAATAAACTACAAAAAAATTGAAAATTGTTTTTGTTTTTTTAACATATATTTCTAGTTAGAGAAATTTAAGAGGCTTATCCCTCAAAACTGTAAATACAAAAAAGTTGCACAAAATAGTTTCCTACCACAGGAAATTTATTTTAAGTGTCTTCATAATTTTATTTTTGAAATACACCAATTTTCATATACTGCAGGAAAAATGCAAATAAATATTATAATGCAAATTTGCAAAATAACAGCATATGCAGGACAGCATATTTCCAGCAGTGCAATATGAGTCCTAAGCATCCCAGAAACGACACAGAAAGTCATAAAGTCAAATATAACTTTAAAAAACATCAGTATAGGCTCATAAGGCCCCGATGGTAAAAAAAACTACATTTCCGCAAAATGACTTCACTTCCGGTTTCGGGCAGGTCATGGTGGACATCAGGGCTGCCACGATTAGGTCGACTATCAAAATCGTCGATGACTAATTTAATAGTCGACGCGTCGTTTGAAACTTTGTAAGATCCCAAAAGACGCAGGAATAAGTAGCAGGATTTAAGAGTGTAATAACGGAGCTGTGTCCCAAAATTCATAGCACAGCCCAGCTCAGTTTCCAACAATGGCGGCAGCTAGTTAGTTTTAATATTACGCTTATTATTCTTTCTGGGTCACAAAATAAACATTTAACATATTTTCAGGCGAGAATGTAGCTGTGTTTACCTCAAATATCTGCTCAGTTTATCAAGACACCGCATATTTTCAAAAGCGCTCCGATGTTTTCGGAGACGTCTGTTACCCACTAGCTCAATAGCTAGCCAGGGGCAAGGCTCACTAGAGCTGTGAGAGCACCGGACTCCCGGCAAATCGTTTTCAAACCCACCGCCGTCTTTCGCTACTCATTTTAAACATATATAAGTCACTTAGATAACTTAAAAATGTTATTGTTTGGCTTTTTTAGTATTTTATTTGTTCCTGAGTAAATCTGTTTGGCTGAGATTAAAGTTATAGTTTTTACACAGCTGAATAAATGTCAAGCAGACAGCTGATTATCAGAAGTGTGAGATGCTGGAGAATTTACTCCGGTGTCCTGTTATATTTTAGATAGCAAGGAGTTTATTAAACTTCACCGAAACAATCTGCAAATTTCATTAAAATTTAATAAACTATCATCTTGTCTTTATTTTTAGTTAGCACATACCTTAAACACTTAAAGCTGTAAGCAAATGATAGTTATATATGAGCAGATGCTGCTGGTGCAATAAGCTGTACGTTTTACGTTCAATGGATGATGATCTGATTAGTCGACTAATCGCAAAAATAATCGGTGACTAGTCGACTATCAAAATAATCGTTTGTGGCAGCCCTAGTGGACATGCGATAGTTCACGCTGATGGATGTAGGAAGTGTTATGAACAGCTGATCGGCAAAGTGTGTTTCGGGAATATTTTGTTTTTGTTCCTGCAAGCGCTTTTTATGCAGTTTTTGCAAAGCTATATGTGGAAGGAACTGTGACTTAGGACAAGCTGATGGCATAAGATGTAAGTACAAATTCTCCGGTTTCGTATGCAAAAAAAATTGTTGCGCTAGCTCACGTGGTTGCAGTGCTACCGGGATTTTAAAATAGTTACGCAAAACGGAGCGTGCCCGCTCCAACCGGCTTTAAAGGGTTAAAGCTGTTTTGACTTCACGTTTGCCTCTATGAGTTCTGCGTTTGAGTCCTCGTCTCCTGCCTGCACACAGCACACACCATGACAGAACTAAACATTTCCATCAGTGCCTTAATAATTTTTCACATTTGTACACTTTAAATTTTAGTGGTATGTGTGAGCAACATGCTTACTATGTAGAGATCTGCTTATGGTTCAGACCAGTAAACATTTTCGCAAATGTTTGTTTTGCTATCATTTTTCTTCCTTGTGCCTTCAGATGTCCTACACCAACATGCTATTGAGGAAGAAGAGGCTCTTACAGAACAGCGGGTCTTTAACCAGGAGAGGAACTCTAGTCTGGACCAGGAGGACCCAGAGCCTCCACAGATTAAAGAGGAACAGGAGGAACTGTGCAGCATTCAGGAGGGAGAGCAGCTTGGACTGAAGCAGGAGAGGGATACCTTCATGAAGACTCCTACTTATGAGGAAAGTCACCACAGTGAACCAGAACCAAACAGTGAGCAGCTCCTTTCTCACAGCTCTCCTGAAGCAGAGAGCAGATATCATGAAGAAAATGGGCATGTGGACTCTGGATCTACTAGAAATGCAGAGCTGAAGAAGAGACATCACAGTCAGAGAGTAGACAACAGTCCTGTGTCAGTGAGTCAAAGTAGAACTGACACAAAGAACAAGTCTGTACAATGTGACGTGTGTGGAAAAAGTTTACAGAATAAATACAAAATGACTACACATCTAAGAGTTCACACAGGTGAGAAACCATATCCTTGTACCACCTGTGGTAAAAGATTCGCTCTTCCAGCAGCATGCAAAACACACATGAGAATTCACACAGGTGAGAACTTGTATTCTTGTAGGACCTGTGGAAAAAGATTTGCTAGCCCATCAGCGTTCAAAAAACACATGAGAATTCACACTGGTGAGATGCCGTATTCATGTAGCACCTGTGGGAAAAGATTTGCTGCATCATCAGTGTTCAAAAAACACACAAGAATTCACACAGTTGAGAAGCTGTATTCCTGTGGCTTCTGTGGAAAAAGATTTGCTGTCTCCTCAGCATTAAAAACACACATGAGAATTCATGCTGGCGAGAAGCCGTATTCTTGTAATGCTTGTGGGAAAAGATTTATTCAGAAGTCACAACTGGAAAGTCATATAAGAATTCACACAGGTGAGAAACCATATCCTTGTACCACCTGTGGTCAAAGATTTGCTCACGCATCAGCATGCAAAAGACACATGAGAATTCACACAGGTGAGAAGCCGTATTCTTGTAACACCTGTGGGAAAAGATTTATTCAGAAATCACATTTGAACTGTCATGTAAGAATTCACACAGGTGAGAAACCGTATCCTTGTAGCATCTGTGGGGAAAGGTTTGTCCAGAGGATAAAATTAAAGAAGCACATGAGAATTCATGCGCGTTCAAATGTTCATACTAAGAAAATGCGGGACAGCTGTGAGTCATCGCTAAACACGTGAGTGAAAAGATGATCCATATTCAGGCCATTATTTTTCTGTCTAGAGCAGTAAAGAACTCTCAGCATTGTTTGTTCAGTTTATTTTATTAATTGTATCAGGGAAACTCTGATCTTATATTTCATGAAGCTTTAAATTCTGTATGCTCCTGTTCTGTTGGTTCATTGTTTAGCTATGTTGTTTATTATTACTGTTTTATATCCTATATTGGGACAAATGCCCCAAAAAACTCAATAAATAAACACAATAAAAATGGAAGAATTGAGCAACAGTCAAGAATTGTGTTTATTCTTGTAAGGGAGCAAAAGTATCAAATACCAAGTGTCATGCTTGAAGGGAAGTCCCCAATACATTTTGTCAGTCCCACCCTCCTTTGCCTTAAAACTGTCACACAATAACACTTTTCCTTCAAAAGGGCAGTTATGAGTGTGTGAACTATAATGAGCAGCTAAAATGTTTTTTGCAATCTTGGCATATTTCCAGGCACTAAGTGTATCTTTGACTATAATACAGCTCACACCAATTAGAAGATTGCATAAGGTATTTTTTTTCCCCAGTTGTCAAATCCAAAAACTACATTGGAGCTGCAGTGATTCCTCAATTAGTCAATGAATAGAGGCCAATTCAGCTGGGAAATATTAACTGCTCTTTATAAGATGTAGTGTTTAGCACACAAAACAGAAAGAAAATATGGGAGAAAAAAGACGGATGTTCAGCTTTAGGGCTTTTCTGCTCCAGTTAAAAAACTTCCTCCTGTTGGAGGAGATTAACATGCAACAAACCAAAGGTCAATGTACACGGGCACAAAATGGGTTTTAGTTTGTTTAGTTATTGGAGCATTAAACCACAAATATTTTAACCATAACCATGTACTATTGACAATTATGATAGTGAACATATAGTGGCTTCATTCACTCCTCTTTCAAACCATCTGTCCTCTCTGTCCAAAATGTGAGCATCTTCAAAAGAGTGACCTTTGTCCTTTAGATGCAGATGGACTGCTGAGTCTTGTCTTGTGGAGGTGGCTCTTCTATGTTCTGCCATGTGTTTGTGAAGTGGCTGTTTGGTCTCTCGAATGGTAAATGGCCTGTATTTATATAGCGCTTTACTAGTCCCTAAGGACCCCAAAGCGCTTTACATATCCAGTCATCCACCCATTCACACACACATTCACACACTGGTGATGGCAAGCTACATTGTAGCCACAGCCACCCTGGGGCGCACTGACAGAGGTGAGGCTGCCGGACACTGGTGCCACCGGGCCCTCTGACCACCACCAGTAGGCAACGGGTGAAGTGTCTTGCCCAAGGACACAACGGCCGAGACTGTCCAAGCCGGGGCTCGAACCAGCAACCTTCCGATTACAAGGCGAACTCCCAACTCTTGAGCCACGATCACGCCCAATGTAGAGGTCTGGGCATTTCTCGCTACACTGTACAGCATACACCACATTGTTAAGTCTGTGTTTTGGAGTTTTGTCTTTCTGGTGAACCAGTTTTTGTCTGAGCGTGTTGCTGGGTCTGAATTACACTGGGATGTCATGCTTGGAGAAAACTCTCCTGAGTTTTTCTGATACACCGGCTACATAGGGGATGATAATGTTGTTGCGTCTGTCTTTCTTATCCAACCTAGCTGGTGTCTGATCTTCTTTTCTGTGCTGCTTAGCTGACTTTATAAACGCCCAATTAGGATAACGATAATCTCCCACGATCTGGGGCTCCACGGAAGATCTCATCCCGTGGGGTCAAAATGATCATGAGAACGGTGAGCAAAGATCCCAGAACCACACGGGGGGACCTGGGTCACCATCAGTAACACACTAAAACGGCAGGGAATCAAATCCCGCAGTGCCAGACGTGTTCCGCTGCTGAAGCCAGTGCATGTCCAGGCCCGTCTGAAGTTTGCCAGAGAGCACATGGATGATACAGCAGAGGATTGGGAGAATGTCATATGGTCAGATGAAACCAAAGTAGAACTTTTTGGTATAAACTCAACTCGTCGTGTTTGGAGGACGAAGAATACTGAGTTGCATTCCAAGAACACCATACCTACTGTGAAGCATGGGGGTGGAAACATCATGCTATGGGGCTGTTTTTCTGCCAAGGGGACAGGACGACTGATCCGTGTTAAGGACAGAATGAATGGGGCCATGTATCGTGAGATTTTGAGCCAAAACCTCCTTCCATCAGTGAGAACTTTGAAGATGAAACACGGCTGGGTCTTCCAACATGACAATGATCCAAAACACACCGCCCGGGCAACAAAGGAGTGGCTCCGTAAGAAGCATTTGAAAGTCCTGGAGTGGCCTAGCCAGTCTCCAGACCTCAACCCCATAGAAAATCTGTGGCGGGAGTTGAAAGTCCGTGTTGCTCGGCGACAGCCCCAAAACATCACTGCTCTCGAGAAGATCTGCATGGAGGAATGGGCCAAAATACCAGCTACTGTGTGTGCAAACCTGGTAAAGACCTATAGTAAACGTTTGACCTCTGTTATTGCTAACAAAGGTTATGTTACAAAGTATTGAGTTGTATTTTTGTTATTGACCAAATACTTATTTTCCACCCTGATTTATGAATAAATTCTTTACAAATCCTACCATGTGGATTCATGGATTTGTTTTTCACATTCTGTCTCTCACAGTTGACGTGTACCTCTGGTGCAAATTACTGACCTCTGTCATCATTTTAAGTGGGGGAACTTGCACAATCGGTGGCTGACTAAATACTTTTTTGCCCCACTGTATATGTGTATATATATATATATATATATATAAAAGCAGGTCTATATATATATATATATATATAGAAAACAAGATGTCAGCAAAGGCCCTGTACACTTTTGTGAAGCTAAATAGACACAACATCTGGTCAGCTTTGGAAATCAGTGATCAGGAAAGTAATAGTGAAGGAGAGTTAGATTCACATTGCATTTCTCCTGGACAAGAAAACTGTCAAGCTTTTGAACTAGACGTCCCTTTTGAGGACTGGGTTAAATTTATTCCTGAAAAGGTTGAATACAATGACAAGTTTTCTCCTACCCAAAAAAGGGAATACACAATTTTGAAACCTGGCACTTGGACTCATATCATCAACGATCTTATATGGAAGAAGATCAAAAATACATGTACACTTGTGTTCCGAAGAGCAAAGGTCCATCCAACTGTCAACAATAAATATCTGGACATCAGAGGCGACTGTAAGGAGTGTCATGGCCAGTTAGAAATGTCATGTGACAGACAGACAGCAATTAATAGTCCAATGGTGCTCCAGTGTTTCATGAGAAATACAGATCTCTCCCTGCACACTGGCCACTCCAAGCGGTTCATGTCTGGAAACCTGTGTGAACAGATCGCTAAAGAGCTGTGTGAGGGCAGAATGGAACTGGCTGTATGGAGGTCAGCGAGGGCAGCAGATCTGATGGATGTTGGAGATCCTGAGCCAAGCCACCTTCCAAATTTGGCCGCTCTGCGAAAAGCCAAACAAGAGAGAAAAGACTTGGAATTAGGAGATAAGGACCCCATTGCATCTCTGCAATTGTTAAAATATAGTGTTCCTCACAGTGGTAGCATCCGAGATATTGGACTGGACAGGTTTTTCTGTCACTACTGGAGTCAAACACAGATGCATGTTTATAAGACATTGTCAAAAAAATCTCCCCCAACTGTGTGTTTTGATGCAACCGGTTCAGTTGTGAAAAAACTGCTGAGACCAAATGGCAAATCTGGCCATATCTTCCTTTATCAAGGTATTCTGAAAGAAAACAATTGCCCCAGTGTCCCAGTGGCGCAAATGCTGTCAGAGAAACATGATGTTAATGCCATCACAAACTAGTTGACAGAATGGATTCGTGCAGGTGCACCTGTGCCAAAGGAAGCTGTGAGTGACTTTTCTCTGGCAATTCTGGGAGCTCTGGTCAAGGCTTTCACTCCTCATCCTGATCTGAAGTCCTACCTTAATGAATGCTTTCATGTCCTTCTTGGAACCCAGTCTGCCAAACTGCCCCCTTGTTATATCAGGGTTGATGTTGCGCACTGCATCAAGATGATATGCCAGTGGAACTGCCTGAAGAAGAAAACACATCGTGTTAAAGATTTCTTTGTCAGGTCATTAGCAAAACTTCAGTCTCAATGTTTGGACCATGCAAAACAGCTCCTACATGCTATCACTGTTGTGGCCCTCAGTGAGGCAGAAGGTGATGACAGTTCTGGAGCCCCTCTTCCTTCAGAAAGGTGCAAGAAATACTTGAAAGCCCAAATTGCTCAAGACTCCATCATCATTCCAGATGAACAGACGGAGGAAAGTGAGAGAGTGGATTCAGTGGATGAGATCCAGACTGACCTACGACAGTGGGTAACAGAAATATGTGAGGAGAGCAGGTCACTTGCTGCAGCAAACGGGGATAGAGATAATATTCACTTTCTCCCTGAGATCATTCCTCATATAATAAGACTGGCAAGTTACTTGCCACTCTGGACAGGAATAATGGTCCCTCTCTTCCAAAGCACCAGCATCACAGCAAGTTCAGCCACTGTTGAAGTTCAAAAACATAAAACATGGCCTTTTCAAACATGACAACTTGCCTCTTCGAGTCGATCGCTTCATTGCTCGTCATCTTTCATTCATATGCGGATTTGTTCTGCAAAAGAAAAGGTCAAAGATGAGCCAACAGTGGGATCACTGAAAGTCACAGATGCCAATTCTGGATCCATGACGACTCACAATGCAGAAGACAAAATAAAAATGGATGCTCACCCATTTGTGGGATCTGATGCTACCACAAACATTCTTCCGGCTGATGGGGATGCAGTTGAGAACTGGAGGGGCCTAGCTGTTCCACTCAAAAAAAGGAAGAGGACTTCCTACCTCTCTTCATGTACCGAATGGCTCCATGCAGATGAAACTTTTGGGGCCAAAAGAGTGAAAGTGGGATTATTAAAAAATGGAAACCTCCATCAGCCTATTAGATTAGGGGAATCGACAATCTCTGTGCTCAATACCTGTGCATTTGATGCATTTTTTCAGTCCTTATGTTGTGCCTTCTGTGACAGCTCCACATTTCAAAATGCTGTTCTGAAGGACAGTGAAAACCCAGTCCTGCAGCTGGTGAAAGCCATTGCCACAGATGGTGTGACCCAACAAACCTACAGAAGGAGAGCAGAGCTGCTTAGTGTAATGTTTGAAGCTGTCTCGTTGAGGTCTGCTGCGATCCAAATCGATGCGCAGTGCAATATCTGTAATTGCTAAGACAATGAGG